TACGACTATTACCAATAACCGCAGCTTTCTCCATCTCTTTACAATTTTCTACCCACCACTTCTCGCGGTCATTCCTCAGACTCTTGATGAGCTGGCGTTTAAGGGATTTGCGCGCTGTGTCGTATGTGGCATCCGGATGAAGGGCACAAACGACAGCGAACAGCGAATAGTTCAGTCCTTCGATCGAACAAGAGCAGAGCAAAAGATGCCGTTTTATAGGCTAGGGGATTTTTATGCTGCAAACAGGTGAAGTGATAAATACGGATAGAAATAGACGGTGAAGATGAGCGATTATGACAACAAAATAGCCATCAGACCCTGGGTGTAATATACAACGGTATGTCTGTACTGATTTAGTTTTCTAGTTTGAGTGGTGTCTCAGAGTAGAATAAAATAATTACTCGAACATTTTGTGCAGTGGCAGGCTAATGAAGCTTGCAGGCTTTTATGCAAAAATAAACCAAAGATAAGAACGAATGTCCTATCATGTGTACTCGTGCATCGCGTCTAAGTTGGAATATTGCCCCAGGTGTCCTTGTAGGTTAAAGAATTCGTTGCATGAGAATTACATAGCGCGCTCCATTTAATTGTTGTGGACTAAGTCTCGTCTCGCAATAGTTACTGACCGACATCAACTATTCATTATCTGACAGAGGAAGGCCTATTTTACCCTTCCCTTTGCCTAATTTTCCATTTTCATGAAACATGAGTTTCCAAATTTACGCGCACACAAACCGTCATTCCACACGACGGACCATGCTTGCTCCTGATTGGTTCATTTCCCGAACACTGGACTTTTCAACCTTTTCCCGAGGTTGTGCAAGGCCGTCCATGGATATATATATATCTTTGAAACAGTTCCATAGAGCACATTTCAAACAGAACAACAGAGTGGCGAACAAGCTCGTTTTCAGAGATTCGTATTCACGTCAATACATCTCAATGTATATCATTACTTGGGAATAAAATTGTCTTGGGAAAATCAAATCACTTCACAGATTACTAGAAACGATTTCATC